CATATATATACCTTCCTTCATGGCGTCCGCTCTACTTTTCGTCCACACTTCGTCTCTAGCTATGGAATGGAACAACAGAACGAACTTTTCAAGACGCTTAAGAGAACTTCATTTCTACATTCTAGTGACTCATTTACAGATCATTGGGAAGGTGGCAAAGATATCTGCTGATTAACATTTCATTAATTTAATGTAGCATTGATGATATAATTAACACTGAAATTTGTATTTTAGAAAATTTATTTTTACCAACAGTTTTTGCAAGAAATCATTGATGAATGCACATAAAAAGTCCCTTAGAGGCATCCCGATGGATGCCAACGGAAAACAGCAGATTATTGACAATAAGTTTTACTCCGAACAATCCAGTGTATACATATTGAAAATCAATACAAATCATAACATACAGTCTCTTGAATGAGAGATAGGTGATACTTCGGATGAGCACGATTATTGTAATCTGAATTGACAACACATGGGATTTGCATATTATCAAAACTCTCAGCTCTCGAGCATTCAAAACAATGGTTGTTTGGACTAGCAGCGCTCATATAAAGTCCATTCAGGGATTCAACAAGCACTGGGAACATTCTGTGCATTAAAAAAAACAACAACAACTAAAGAAATGACTGAGAACATTCAAAAAATTCTTAAATAATAATTCATTCTTGAGATATTTTTGAAGCGAAATTTCGTTCCATTTGTTATTTATGTTACAACTTTCATACGACTCAGTCTAACAAGTGACTTCCCTCTCGTTGGCTCTCTCATATTCACACTCACAGATATCAGTAACTTTAAAATTAAAATTAATTCTTACTAAAAACTATTTCGAACCCGTTTCCCTGTCATAAATTTCGCCATGCACGCTAAAATCGAAATAAAAGTAAAAATACAACTTCCAATACTACATGAAATTCTGCATGAAAATAATTGGAACAAAAGTAGGGTGAAGAAAAAACGTCGGGGGTCTTTTATTCGATATCATATCACAATGCCGGATTTAGTCATGATCTCGTTAATGGTGATAATGGTACCCCTTTATCAACGCCGCGTATAGGTAAGTAATAAATCTTGAATTGTCTTCAAGCTAGAATAAAGTACAGTTCGATCAAAGTAATTCAAGACATAGTGGCAACGACCATTTCATTTGAATGTCCACTACTTTTAATTTGATTGATTGATTATTTCGTGTTCGCTTCATATTCAACTGCTACGATCATTAGTACAGTAAGTGTAGTGAATGTTATATATCTGGATGTGACGATTTTCTTACTAGAACGCGAGATTCAGCGCCGACCTACATTTCCACCTCCAGATATCTCCGTCAACGAGGCACCGGTCCAAGCGGCATAAGCTCTAAGCTCCCGACGCTCTGTAGTGCATATAAGATTAAGTATGTATAAGAGGAGAGGAAGGAGCAAGGATGAGGAAGGAAAGATCGCGTGTAGTTTGTGGATCCTTTATGAAGGTACCGATTCGGCATTCGCCTGGTGTTGATTGGAGAAACCCCGAGAAAGCAGCCGGCCACAAGAATTCTCCAAACAGCGATTGAATCCTACCTAGCCATTTAGCTGGTGTCGAAAATCCGCCACTGCCGGCATCTTCAACCCCAGGACCTGCCGGTCAGAGACGTTACCGAGGCAACAGTTGTAGCAATGGGCTGTTTCAGCCGGTGACACTAGGACGCTAGGGTGCTTCTAACATCGAACAGAATGTGGGTGTTGAGAGGAACGGGGCACTCACCTCGCAGTCGCGCGGACGGCAGCTCGCACATGCAGAGGGCGCGGCCGCGCACACGCGCTGGACGTATAGCCCGCTCCGAAGGCGCCACCTGCCGTCGCGCGCGCGCGCGGCCCGCCTGACGCCCCTGTAACTCCTCGACGGCGTCGTCAGGAAGCCATGCGAGAATGCGGAGCTGCATATGGAGGTGTAGTGAGGAGGAGTGGTGTGGGTGGTGGTTGGTGGTGGTGGTGGTGGTTGGTGGTGGTGGTGGTGGTGGTGTGGCGGGGCGGGCGGCGGCGGCGGGCGGTGAGTGCTTGCGACTTTGGTGAGGTGGGGGTGGTGAGGTGGAGGAGGAGCGCGTGGTGGTGAGGTGGTGGAGGCGGGATGTGGTGGCGGAGGTGTGGTGTGGTTGTGGGGGTGTGGGTGGAGGAGAGAAGGAGGCCGAGGAGGTGGGTGCGGCGGTGCGTGTGGAGGTTTGAATGGAGGGTGGTGTGCGCGAGGTGGAGAAGGAGGCTTCGTTGGAGGAGGATATGTTGGCCAATAATTATCGTCTTGGCCCGGGGGCGGGGGTGACAATCGGTAGGTCAGGTCAGTCGGCTGTGGAGGAGAGTCTGGTTGTTGCGGCGACTCTGGTTCGTAGTCCTCGTCTACGAACGCTTCACCCGGGGAGCCTGTGGGGAAAACAACTTCGTCTATACAAACGTTCAACAAAGTTTAGCAGTTCTTTAAATCAGAAAAGCAAAGACAATTGTAATATATAATTTATTTTTAATATTTCAAGGAAGTGTTCGGGCACTGATATTTTTGTCGCATCCTTTAATGAGTTGCGAAAGGAGTTAGGTTAAGCATTAAGAGAACTGTCTGAAAAAAAACAGCAGGCATTCTGATTAGGTCTGAACGTAGTAAGCCTTCTCCGCGCATGTAATGCTTGTTTGCTCCATCTCGCTTATTTATCTGTTTCCAACTTTTCTCTTGCCGCCAGTATTTTTTTGTTGCTTTCCCCTTCGTATTCAGTTGTGAGATAAGACTTATAGTAGCAATAATTCTAAGTTATGTACCACCCACGATAGAACCGTTTTTCGTTCGACTTTATGAAACTCAAATTCATCCAACGTGAGGGCAGACCATTTTTTATTTCCCATATCGATGTCAAAATTACACGATACATTCTAGTGATCAGTTAGCAGATATTACCAGTGGGGGATCTGCTGTTATTGATTAGAGCATTTATTTTACTTTTATTTCAGGATTAACAGGGAACTGCGAATGTGACAAAAATACGATACTTGAACATGATCGAATTGTAGACCAGTTCGAAGGGGTATGGAGGGAGGCGTTGTAAAATAAATTAGAAATGCCTTCGTTGGGGTATCAGACAAAAACGGGAAGAGAGTATATTTCAACGGTATATACAGACAATTCTTACCAGCGAATTATAATGTGTCGTTTATTGTATGCAGCAACACACTTTAACGAGTCAGAAGTGAATGTGTTCAGAAATAATATAATTCGCTCGCAATACGCATAAATTGTTTAAGAGAATTTTAATAAGAAAATATTTACAGTTTCTTATTTTTTGGGAGAACATGTGTGGATCTTTTTAATTCGTTAAAAAATATTATTTTCATGATCCTTCTGGGGGCGTCATTAAAATGATCCATATAAATATATTACATGGAAATGTAAATTATTGTAATGGAACCTCTAATGCATTTGACATGAATTAAAAAAAAATTAGGTAGATAACTTAAATGTGTAATACTTAGAGCTTAATAAATTATATTTCACTAAATTTTTAGGCGACATAATTTAGTGAAGGTAGGTCATGCTGGTTTACTAAATAAATGAACATTTGGATTCATGCAAAAACTATGGCCAGAGGCACGAACAAATAGTAAGAACTACTTTAGTACGTAGAGAAATATGTAAATCTTGTAGAAATATGTATATGGCTGCGCACGTAGACGCGCGTTTAATGTTAATTTTATGCTGACCCTCGCGCCCCTGTTCAGGGCCTCTACGGAACGGCGCTCTACGCAACCCGCAGCACCCTGATGTATTAAGAGTGTCTGCCTCTGCGATTGTGGTATAACGCCCAGGACAGACAGGTACAAAGAGAGACAGAGGGAGACAGAGGCGGACATAGACGCAGAGAGAGAAACAAACACAAAGGCAGCCAGAGAGAGAGAAAGAGAGAGAGAAAGAGAGAGAGAAAAAGAGAGAAAGAGAAAGAGAGAGAGAGAGGAAGAGAGAGAGAAAGAGAAAGAGAGAGAAAGAGAGAAAGAGAGAGAAAGAGAGAGAAAGAGAGAGAAAGAGAGAGAAAGACGGAGAGCGAGACGCAGAGCGTGGCGGAGAGCGAGACGGAGACACAATCGGAGAGCAGACGAAGAAGCAGATGGAGAGACAGAGAGACAGACGGAGAGAGACAGAGAGAGATAGGGACAGTGAGAGTGATTGAGAGAGAAAGGGAGAGGGAAGAACGCTAGTGGGTTCTAACTAGCGAAGGATTCCGCTAGTTAGAAATAAAAATCAATATATGAACTGATAAAGTCTAGAATTTGAGCAGCTTAAGCTTACTGCCATTATGCCCCAGCTAATCTCTCTCGTGTCCCACATTGCACTCTCTACTACCGCCATTTTCCAGGGGCTTCCATGTCCTCTCACCTGATCAACATTGTCCGGTTACACCCCCATGGGTCCGCTGACCCTACACTCATTCCCTGTTGCTCGTCGATCTGCCTGATCTTTTTCTCCGATACTTTTGGTCCTAAAGTTTAGTAGACAACCCAACCCGCACGCAAGCCCACCGTTTACCTTTTCGCTTATTCCACATACATTGAGGTCGTCAACCGCTTTGCCGCGCTGATGATGCTTAAAGACCGGAAAAATATGTAGTAAGAATATGAAAGGTTGAATATAACATGTAATATTAAAATGCACTAATTTTAAAGCACATTTACATAACACGAAATTACATGTAAAAAATATTCCCTAAACTAATTTTTAAAATAATACAAAATATTTAAAAGTCATTCAGAGACACTAGTGCACTGACACTAGTGCATACACTAGTGCACACTGTTTACGAACATACACCTTCTTCATCAGTAGTAAAAGCTTTATCCATTCCATTCAGAACCGTAGTTTAGCCGCCAGACTAGACGCAATAGAAGCCATCGTACAAACTGACGACCGCCAAAGTTTCTCGGAAATCAAGTTCACAGGCCACGATACGCGGCGTCTAATACTTTTCCCACCTAAATGTGAAAATGATCTCAGTCGTTGTCGAGCACTTTCCGCCCCTGAGATAACAGAAGCTGGCGCATAACTGTGAGGACATCCGACAGTGTCTTCACGAAGCGTACTTCAAGTAGACAACACAATAATAATGTCGTTACTAATTTAGATACAGATAAATAGTAATAAAAATACTAATTTTTTGAAAATACTTTTTATAAAACATAAATGTAATAAAAATGAAGAACATTGATAAAATAAAAAAAAATATTTGTGAAAATAGCAAAATATGTAAAATATGTAATTTAGTACTAAATATGTAAAAATATGTAACGAAAAAATTAGACGGCGACGATTCTCCAGGATTACAATTTTGAGAACGGTAAGTGTAAAGAAAAATCCGATATCTACTAATGATCATTGGAAGGGGCTACTGATGGCTAAGAAGAATAAATAATCTAATATTGTATAGGAAAATACGTGGGTACTTTAAGGACGTAGTAGTAGATTTACATTTTGAAAAAAAAAATGTTTAATTGGGGCAATAAAATTTTCTTTTGTGATCAAATACTAATCTTTCTACGTTTTCATAGCAAATGGCCATTTTTACAATATTTTTTTCAGGCCAGGAAATATTAATCTTTAACTGCTTTCCATATTTACAAAAACAATTGTAAAGAACTTATATTTAACTCTGTACTCGTAATAGTAAATTTTGTTAATTTTTGATGGAAAACTTTAAAAAAAGAAATCTCGTAAAAGCTAGTGAATGCCACACTGTATCACCCTAACAAAGTAAATATGAAATATGGGTACAGCTTCAATTGCATCCTATTCATTAAATACAAGTTAGCTTTCCTAACCGACGTCCGACATCCCTGATCATAAGCTCTTATCTCCTGTCATTGTTTTTCTCGTTTCTGTCCTTCTCGGCCCGTTCTCGCACTCGCACGCGGACCCCCCTCCCGCTCGCCCACCCGCCCGCCCGCAGGGCAGTGGGGACGTGTAATTGGTTGCCTCGGAGATCGATTCTCGGAGCATTCGCGTACATGACGCGGCATTGTCTTGCCTCACGCATCGGGCTTCTGCTGCGACTCACCCGCTTTAACGTGTTCCAGATGTTTCTAAGAAGGAAACTCAGAAAAGATAATTAAAAGTTAATTGGTATTACAAATCTTCGTGAATAGCCCTTGCTTAAAAAAAAGTAGTAGTTTTTGCAGAAAAAATTTTGCGCTAGAGGCTAGATGATCTATGTTAGCCGATGAGACGCCGTTTTTGCGATAGTTAGGTAATTAATTAATAACAATAACAAAAATAAATTAGCTAATTTATTGGTCAAACACATGCAGGTGCTTATCCCTCCTAGTGAAAATAATGGTTCCTAAATTAAGTCCATAAAACCTGTTTAAAGAGGGAAATATTAAAAAAAATTCAAGTGTGTGTCGTAATAAAAAAACTCATTTTTTGAGGAAAAGGTTATTTTTGTTACTTTGAATTATATTTTTAACATCCTTACGTAGAAATTGTGTAACCTCATTTCGTCACTCTCGGTTAGACCCATTCCGGCACACTAATCGATACAAAGGAGCTGTCATTCGGTGCATCTCAACCTCCTGATTGTGAACAGTTTTTGTGGATCCATCAAGGACATTTTAAGAAATTTCTTTAGCGCGTTTTTGATGTTTTAAGCAATTAAAACGCGTTATGGGGGACTTACGGCACACACATAGGTAATTAATATCTCATTCGATTCTTCTCGCAAAGACGAATCGATTGGCACAATTTTTAGCCGGATTGGCTCAATTTTCCCTCAAGTATGTTCTAGAAGAATTCTAGAAAAAACACGTGTTTTTTATGGTTTTGTAGTATGGAGTGTTATGTGAACCGCATGTTGTCGTAGAGCGTTGTCAGAAGAGACAAACAAGTAAAGGAGAGGAGTTTGATATGTGAAGGAAACGATATATGTTAAACAGATGGCGAGTAAAATTGTATGATTTCAGTAAATGTACTAAAGAAACATGTCAATGATAATGAAGTACGCATTAATTCATCGATACCCAAAGGAAGCGTGGTCACCAAGAAAACTATAATAGAAACGAGGTTTGGGAGATAAATGACAACTAGTTGTTTGGTGAGAATACGAGCACGGGGTGGAAAATTGAAAATATATACGTAAAACGGTAAAGAGTATTGACATTTAACGACACACCAAAATTGTGTTACTCATTACAGCTCAGTGCCTTGGTTCTATCCCACCTTGACTGACAGACTATCCGTCGAACCCACAGCAAACCATATCAATTATCCTTTCTCTACGACTTCTATTCCTCCATACCACAAATCGCCACATTAAATACACTAGACCTCTGTCAAAATCGCATTCAACCAAACCGACCTCAAAACATATTCCCCTTCTACACATTTCTTTAAAAAAAAAGGAAAATCGTTGAAATTATCAATTAATAGTGGTGCCTATTTGGATTTCTCAGCCTTGCATTATACTTAAGCATACTATGTAAGATAGCAGTAAGCAACCAAAAACATTTGTATAATACAACGTTTTACTGACCTACGTACAAATCAACAAGAAAATAAATTTAAAAAAGTAACTGACAGTGTGGCGGGGTTAGTGGCGAGCCAATGGCTTTCTCCGCGGTCTCCGCGGACGGGGCGCTACATTGGCACGGCGCGGGCGGCGCGGGCGGCGCGGGCGACTAACCTCGAGTGCGCAGCGCCCCCTTGGGGGGGTCGAGGGGGATGGCGAAGGTGCAGACGCGGCCTGATTCGTCGAAACGGCAGCCCTGCGCCCGGCCCGTGCCGCTGCAACCGCACCCAGCGCGCTATGTGCGAGCGCAAGCAAACGGGCTCACGCGCGCACGCACGCACGAACGCACGCACGAACGCGCGCGCGCGCGTTGCACAAATCTGCGATTCTTAGTGCTGACACTCGTTCTCCGGGCGTGGCCTTGCAGGCTTCTGCCCGTTGTGTGACATTGAGGCGTGATATTTATCGTGTTTTCTAAATGACTAAGCATACTAATGAAGGTGTCAATTTATATTGCAGTGTTTGAAACAAAATCAACATCAACATTTTGAACAATGGTATTAACTAACATTGTGAGTACACATGTACTGCATGAAGGTTACAGGTCCCTTCTAAAAAATATAGCACAAGCGCCACCTGCCAATGAAATATCATTTCTTTTCGATAATACTCTTACGTGTTATTTGATTTACTTTACTTGGATATTGAAATTGTGTTTATTTTGCGTTGTATACATTTTAAATGTAAGTTATTTCCTTCACTTTTTTAAATTTTGAATTGAGTTTGTCCTAAAATTTCGAAAAGGGATTGCATGAAATATTTGTTTCATTTCACTGAAGGTAGCGACTTTGGAATTAATAGTGTTTCCCAAGATTCCGAGTTCAAATTCGAATTTTCAAACCTCATCGTAAACCGTAGACATATCATTTTAAGCGGTTTTGATTCTATTGAGCCCAACCTTAAACATTTCTAAAAAGCGTGTTTTCCAGATTAATTGTAAAGCATTTTATTTGAAGTGTTTTGCTATTCATAAAATATCCTGAGGAACTCTACATATTTTATGAAAATATTATTGAATATTGTTTTAATATTTTTCTATTTAAATATAAAAATAGAGATGAAGAGAGATAATTGTGTTGGCTGAATCGATAAAGATGTGGTATAATATATACAAACTTATACATTTAGCGAGTTAACAAATAATAAATAAGTAATATAATCTTATTTTTCTAAAGCTATTTCTTCCTTTCTTAATTCTATATTTCTTGATGTAAAATGTTACCTGGTTGCAAGGAAAAGCTCGCAAAGTGATAAAAAAGCGAATTCTCAAATACAGCCTTGATTTTTTATGGTCAATGCATATTATGAAATGAATGAAATGCGAAACCATTCACTACTATGAATGATTGATTAATTGATAGATTAAGCAAAGACTGCTAAAATCGTTAGTCCCGTAAATACAGTGCATGTTTTACATTACGAGAGGTGGCGATTATCTTCCCCCGCTGAATAGGGAGTCCTGGTACCGACCTACACGTCAGCTTGCGGGTTTTCCACAACCAGGTATCTCCTATTAGCAAGTCGCCGCCCAACCGGGACAAGCTCTAAGCTCGTGAGTTGGTCACCCGATAAGTGTGGTGGAGGAGTGCATGTACATGTGTTTATCAGTAGAGGTGAGGATACAAGGAAGGGGAAGGAAAGATCGCGTGGCCCGTGGCCCGTGGCCCGTGGCCCGTTTGTTAGTGTACTGCTCCCGCATCCTCCTGGTGTTGATAGGAGAAACCACGGAAAACTCAGAGTAGCCGGCCGCTAAAATTCTTCTCCTGACAGCTGCTGAGTTCGATCTAACTAGCTAGTGTCGAAAATCTTACCACCGCTGGGACGCGAACCCTAGGTCAGAAGCACGCCCATTGATGCCCTGACCCATCTCAACCAGTATTAAAACACCAATTTTAACAAAAAAAAAAAGACAAAGACTACTTCAAATTTTACTAGCAAATGGATTGACTTATCGCGTCATTGCACACCCCGGTTCCAGAGCGGCGCGGCGCAGCTCAGCGCAAACCCACCTCCAGATGCGCGGGCGCAAGGAGCGCGGGCGCAGGCGGGCGGCGGTGGCGGCGGCGGGCTGGCGGTGGGCCGGCGCCGCCCCGCCACTGGCACTCACCCAGGCAGAGGACGAGGGCGGCGCACAGCAGCAGCAGCGGCCGGCAGTGCGGCGCGCGCGGGCGCGGGCCGGCGCGGGCGGACCCGGCGTCATGGTGCACTGGGCGCGCGGACGAGGCGCGGCTTGCTTTTAAGCGTACGGCGCGGCGCGCGCGGCGCGGCGCGGCGCGACCGCTGACGCAGCCCCCGCCGTGCGCCGGCCCGCGTTTTGCAGAGCGCGAACAAGGCCGCGTGGCGCGGCGCAAGGTATGCACGCTCGAAATGTGGACGTGCTTTGAGGAATCCTACCTCTGGGGAGTACGATCGTTGGCCTCGGAGAGATGCGTTTCGTAAAAGCGACTGGCGACTGACGGAATTTGGTTCCGGTTATTTGAATCATAGATTTACGACTTCTGAGTTCTTCCTGTTATCTGCGTCCGTTACTGTGAACGA